CCCCCCCCCCCATAGAGTGTTCCGTAAAGGTCGTTCTACATTAGTTGCAACCCGATCACAAGCAGACGCAATTCTTATTGCAACAGCCAATCAGAAGCATCAATGGTACGTTTCTGATTGGCTGTCGCAACAAGAGTTGCAATCGACTTACAACTAATGTAGAACGATCTTTACACGCTCGCAACGCACAAATCGCCCTTCAAGCCGTTCCTTTACGCTCTATGCACTCTGCTAGGCAACAGGCAATAGGAACAAGGAATAGGAATTCGGATTGGTCAATTATGTCTATTTCCTGTTCCTATTGGCTAATGCCTATTCCTATTGTCTGTTATCTGGCATTATACATAGGGATTTAGACGCTCATAGTGTTCACGACATACTGTTGTAACTAGCTTTATAACTAGCTTCCTAATGCTCGCACTGAGCTGCGTTCCAAAACTCTACTCGACGGGTACAGTAGCATTTAATTGATCAATAAAAACAAAGATAACTAGGATTTCTTCATCATGATTGGTCAATTAAATGTACTCTATCCACCAAGTAGAATTTTGGAATGAAGAGATGTATCAGCGTGAGCGTCTGATAAATTTTACCCAGAATTATTTGAAATTTATATATTCATTAGTTAAAATCGAAAAAGGAAAAAGACAAGATATTTTATTTTTGCAATTTTCTCACAATAGCACAATCGCACGCAAAACAGATTTTAACTACTTCTATATTATATCGAAATATAAGTTTTTTACTTTTTGATGTTCATTCCTCATCTTCGTCAGAACTTTAGTCAGAATTCGAATAATTATATATCATTTTTATTGCAGACACAATCGCAATTCATATCATTTTGTCCGGATTAAAATGAAACATTCACGACGCTCAAATATCGTTCCACTAGCTGTCACATCCAAGCTACTGGACAAGTACTCGCGGCGTTGTGAGTGTGGTGTTGCGAGTGTATAACGGAACGCTTCCCTAATTAGATCTTGAAATCTCAGTGTACGATTAGATGTAGCGCGGTATGCGGTATGCGGTACGCGGAATGCGGTAAAGTAACTAGAAACCGCGTGCAGTGAGCCGCGTCTGTTTTCTTCCTTCTATTACAAGGAGCAGAAACTTACGCGAAAAAGCGGCACGGGCTAATGACAAATTCTCATTTGTTTTCATTTTCTAAAATGAATTAACTTATTTCTATGCACATTTTACCAATATTCTTATTTTTTCAACAAATTTACTTATTAATTGCATTTAAATCAATTAATTCCATTTAAAAGTGCATAGAAATGAGAATTTATCACTAGCCCCATCACTAGCCACAGCATAAAATATTATAAATATCAATTTTATGTCGAGATAAATGAAATACGGTTTTATAGCATGTTCGACTGACTCTGGATTAACCCACTCTGAGTTATTCAGTCTATGTTTATTGGTCAAACAAGTACTTATAAGCTTTATGATTGGCTAATAGAGACATGACGTCAATAATCGCTCCCGGAGCGAATAACCCAGGGGACCAGTCGAATACGCTATCTGTTCTGATTGGTGCATTTCTAAAGATAGATGGAAATGCACTAATCGAAACAGAGTATTTCCATCCAACAAGCAATCCAGCATGAAAACAAGCACCGTGCCGCTGATTTATGCTACGTTCGGAAACACACTGCATGTACACTACTAGACGATAGCCGTTGGAGTGAGCGAAATACAAGAGTGAGATAAAAAGAGAGAGAGAGTACTCGAGTGACGTTTCCGAACGCAGCCTTAACAAGAGTGCGTTCTGTTACGCTCGCAACGCCCAAATCGCTCTTCAAGGGTACGTTCAGATTCCTCATCCGGGTGCACTCTATTACTAGAAACATTATAGTATATGTCACATATACTATAGCACTTCTAGTAATAGAATATACCCGAGTGGGGAATCTGAACAGTTCCATTAAGGTCGTCTACATTAGTTGCAAGTCGATTGCAACTCTTGTTGCGATAACCAATCAGAAGCGTCAATAGCACCATTGATGCTTCTGATTGGCTGTCGCAATAAGAATTGCGGTTGCTTGCGATCTGCTTGCAATTAATATAGAACGACCTTTACGGAACGCACCGAAGGAAAGGTGTGCATAAAGCGTTCCACGAATCTAGTGATATTTTCGAGAAAAACGAACGCAGCTATGAGAATCGCCTAAAATCGCGGGAAACGCGTCCTCTCTTCTAGGGCTCCGTGAGGTTCGCCCGTAATTCCATATTATTAACAATTACAACGACTTGAACGGTAACAAGCAAGTCCGCGTGAACGTTAACGCCGTGTAGAAGCTAGTGTCTGGCTTCGGATGAGATAGATTGAGTTGTTAGTGAGAGAGAAGGTGACCCTCGAAAATCAGAGGTAGGTCGCTCAATGCTAGCGGTGAAGGGTAATGTTTTCGATATGTGTACCTTTGCTGCTGGTATCCTGCGATCCTCATCAGTGGCCGTTGTTGCAACATCTCACATACTTTCATGATTTACAGCATTTCAACCTGCAAAGTATGAAAATGCTTTATTGCTAGCAGCGTTATGAGTACCACCAGCACAAACACTAGTAAGGCTCCTGTGCCAATTTGCCAGATCAAAGTAGAACCTGAAGAGCAAACCAAGATTACGAGCGAGAATGCACGCGAGAGTCGAGAGAGCTCGTATGATAATAACTGTATGGATAGCCAGCTTGGCAGAAGCCGTTATGGTAGAACAATAAAATACAAGTCTATCAACGCTACCAATTCGCCACAAGTATGTTGTGTCTTGTTCTTTGTCTATTTGAACAAGCATTTTCATAATTTTCAATTATTATACTGATTATGTGTATCTTTCAGTCTATAAACTTCCAAGTATATATTATTTTTGTAATTTAACTTAATTATATAATTTAACAACTTTATTTGTCATATTATGTGATTTAAATTCTTGTTAGTTCTTTCTATATTTGTTTATTGTCATTATTGTTTCTAAAATTTAAAAAAAATTTTATTCTGGATAAACATTAAGTAAAAAATATATTTTTTTGTGACACACACACACACACATATATATATATGTGTGTGTGTGTGTGTGTGTGTGTATCTTTTTATGTTGCTTGAAAATATTTCGTAATCTTTAATTTGGAGTATGGTTCTTTATCTAATTACATAATATAATGCATGTTGTTCTTGTGAATCTCGTAGAATTCAACGATGCCAAAGACACGTAGACATCAAAACTCTACTGATAGTAGTAATGAAAGTATACATGAGAATAATGTAAGTAACAATGCAGATGAAGCCAGTGATACATCTGCTAATATAAACAATACAGAAGAGAATTTACCTTCAAGAGCAATTAGTTCTATGGAATGCAACTGGGTTGCAGGACACTTAGCATGGGCCAAAGTTGGAAATTTTCCATTTTGGCCTTGTATTGTAACACCTGACCCAGTCTCAATGATATATTACAAATTTATAGGTAAACTTACACACAAGGCTTACAATATATATGTTTTCTTTTTTCAAATTGTAACATCTGATGAATTATCTAAATAGACAAGTGAAAAAATTTAAGAGATTATAGTTTCATTAAATGTTATACTACTGTTAAAAACTACACAATAATTGTTCTAAAGAAGTTCTTCTGTGATTTCTTTTACAGTCAGAGGTAGAGGACATAGATTAATGGTACATGTTCAATATTTTGGAGACAGAGGACGTCATAGTTGGGTTTCTGCAAAAGGTATGATGGAATTTACGAATCTTGCTGATTTCAAGAAAGTAGCAGAATTGGCAATGTTGAAAAAGAAGAAACAACATAAATATATTGCTGTGAAACAAGGTTATAATGTGAAACAAGGAATCAAATCGAAATGGGAAAGCGCCATTGAGGAAGCTTTAGAGGTGCAATTGATGACGATTGAGGAGAGAGCCAAAACTTTCGCTCCGAAAGTTAAAACCTCGAAATCTACAGGTTCAAAGTTGTCTACCGTTGATGAAAAGAGTAAAAGTAATAAAAGGAAGAATTCTAACGATCAAGATGATCCTGATACGAAACGCGTCAAACATGATAATATGGAAAAGTCGCCGCGCAAATCGGAAGGAACGAAATCGAAAAATTCACGATCTGTCGTGAACGGTAAAAATGATGCGAAATTGAATTCAGACGCTAGACCTTCTACTCCTTCGAGCCACAGATCCCAAAGCGACAATTCATCTAGCACAAAAGTTGATAGAAACGAAGAGGAGGAGGATGGTGTATTCGAAATTTATTATGAGCGAAACAGAGACATGTTAGAGGACGAATATCCTGATGCATCAGAACATGATATAAAGAAGTATTTACGAAAAACTTGGGACAATATGGACCCGTCATTCCGAAAAAAATATAGGTCATATATGACGCGTGACAATAGTGAACATTCGAAAGAAAGTTCATCGGAGCATGATGATGAAACATCTGTAAGCACTGATATAAGCGCGAAAGAGAATAAGAAAACAAAGAATAAGACTAAAGTTGATAAAGATCTTGATAAAGATGAGAATTCAATCTTCGACACAAAACGAAAACATAATCTCTTTAAAGGTATGAAAACGGAAAAGGTTTGTCAAATCTGCGAGAAGACAGGCAAGTTGACGAGGTGTAAAGGGCCTTGCTATTCCTATTTTCATTTACCTTGCGTGAAACCTGGCGAATCTAGTCCAGAGCATTCTATCGACGATAATACGTCGGAAGACAAAATAATTGATGATGTAAACGTAATTAAGAGAAGTATCAGTGGCGGAGAAGATATTGGTAATTATGATAATGATCTTATAATTATTAATTTCAAATTCTCAAGTGTTAACTTTGGGTATCAATAATTTAATGATATTAACAATTTTAGTTTTTTTATCTTTTTGATTAATGTATCATAAATGCAGTTAAAACGGAGGAACAAGAAGATGAGATGTTCAAGTGTATCGATTGTCTATCCGGAGTAGCACCCGCTTGTTTTATATGCAACGAGAGGGAAGGAGATAGGATAAGATGTTCAGTAATGGCCTGTGGGAAACATTATCATTCCATGTGTCTGAAATCATGGCCTCAGGTGAAGCTTGATTGATGTACTATTATTATTTCGTCACTATTATGAATTATTGGCATTATTTCTCTAACGATAATGAACATTTGCTTCACTGCTAGTCGCATTGGCAAGGTGGACGTTTGACTTGTCCATACCACTTGTGTCACACATGCAGCTCCGATAATCCACAAGACAACCATTCGCGCGCACCAAATGAGAAGATTGCGAAATGCGTCCGTTGCCCGTCGTCTTATCACACATCCACATTGTGTTTACCTGCTGGTTCAATGATTTTAACAGGTAGTCAAATTGTATGTCCAAAACATTACAAAGCACATTACCCACCGTTGAACGCGGCATGGTGCTTTTTGTGCACTCGCGGCGGCAGTCTTATATGTTGCGATACCTGTCCAACTTCATTTCACTTAGAATGTCTGGGTAAGTTTATTAAAAATTAATGTTTCCTTAGTAATTACTATTTAGATTCACTAGAGATTGAGAATTATAATTAATTCTTATTAAAGATTGAGAATTATAATTTAAATTCATTAGAGATTGAGAATAATTTAAATTCTCTCTCTCTCTCATTACAGATTGATACAAAATACAATATGTGTGTATAATAAATTACTTTCGCTGTCATCACATAAAAGTAGTTACTCTATCACTATTTGATATTGTGTTAATAAATTTTTTAATATATTGCTATATATACACATGCATAAAATTATTATTTATTGATAATTTAGGTATAGATGCACCTGATGGTGCATTTTTTTGTGAAGATTGCGAAACGGGAAGATTACCCTTATACGGGGAAATTGTTTGGGTAAAATTAGGTAATTATCGATGGTGGCCAGCTCGTATATGTTATCCAGCTGAAATACCTGAAAAAGTAGAAGCTATTCCACATAGTTCTGGTACATTTTGTGTAATGTTTTTGGGGACTTACGACTATTACTGGGTCCATAGGTAAGTGAAAATATTTGTTTAGATATAGAATCCATCAGTGCAAATTAATAACTACATTTAATAACTGTGTGTTCTTGTAAATTAATTTACAGATAAATACATAAACTAAATTAGTAACTATATTCTTTTAATGTAATAATAAATTTTTTTAGAGGCCGAGCTTTCCTATATCAAGATGGTGACGCAAATATAAAACCAGCTATAGGTAAGACCAAGTCTTTAACGGATGATACATATCGGAAAGCTTTAGAAGAAGCTAATAAGATACATCTGCAATTGAAAGAGGAACGATCTGCAACAAAAGAGCCAAAAGGATTGAAACCACCGACATATGTAAAATTGAAAGTACGGTTTAAGTTAAATTAAAGAATCATTTTATGTTATCAAAAGTAATGATCAGACATTATGCATATAACGTATTATTACGTTACCAATGTTAAATTAGATTTGAACGTTAAATTAGATTTTTCATATATAGAAAAGTCTAAAGATTAAGATTTACATTTGTATAATGTACATGAGAAAAGTCACATGACATTTTGCTTCTAATATCCACCCACAGCAATGAACCATGACCACTAATAAAATGACTATATGACAGGTCAATAAACCAGTTGGCAACGTTAAACCTACTGAAGTCGAAAGTATCGTTGCATGTGAGTGCGATCCGGCCTGGAACGATCCTTGTTCACCCGGTACGGATTGTTTGAATCGCATACTATTGGTTGAGTGCAGTCCCGGTATCTGTCCGGCTGGATCCAAGTGCATGAACCAGTCGTTTGTGTTGCGAAAGTATCCAGCGATGGAACCGTTTCATACTACAGGCCGCGGTTGGGGTCTAAAATCTCTGGAAGACATCAAGGCGGGTCAATTCGTTATTGAGTACGTAGGCGAAGTGATTGACGAAGCAGAATATAAACGTAGGTTGCACAGGAAAAAGGAATTGAAGAATGAGAACTTTTATTTTTTGACAATCGACAATAACAGAACAATCGATGCAGAACCGAAGGGGAATTTAAGTCGATTTATGAGTAAGTATGTCACTGTAACTTTATAACATCCCAAAAGTATAATTATATCTGAATTTGATATTTAATGTTATTTAATGTTATTTTTAACTTGAACTTTCTCTTTTTTATTTCTAAAATTGTTTGGACCATTTAGGCAATCAATCTGAATTAGAATAAAATATCTGAATTATATCTAATATCTGATTCATATTATCGCTTAGGTTTGATTTGTATTTATCTTGTATCCTCCATTTTTTTATTTCTCCGTCTCTTGACTTAATTATGTCGTTCTTCTCTGTACGCAGATCATTCATGTGCGCCGAATTGCGAAACACAGAAATGGACGGTGAACGGCGACACACGCATTGGCTTGTTCGCGTTGCGTGATATAAAATCCGGTGAGGAGCTGACATTTAATTATAATTTAGCATCCGACGGAGAAACTCGAAAAGCATGTCTTTGCGGTGCGTCGAATTGTAGCGGTTTCATCGGTTTGAAAGCGCAAAAGCAGCAATTACCAGCAATACAATCGTCTGTGCAACCAAAGTCGACTCCGCAACCAAAAAAAGTTGCTAACAACCAAGAAAAGGCTCTCTTATGTAAAAAAACAGAGAAACGACATAAAAGGTAAAATTGTATAATCGTGTAATCACCCTTCCAATCGTACGACCATATTCACGACTTTGTGTCATTCTTGATTTAGATCAACGAAGTCGATATGTTGGCAGTGTGGACAAGAGATATCAAATTCACATGAGCTACTGATCTGCCAGCAAAGAACGTGTAAAAAGAAATATCACAGAACTTGCGTGACACTCGATGGCCCGGAATCGAAATTCAGTTGTCCTTGGCATTACTGCTTAGAATGTGGTCGTCGGACATCAGCACATTGTTCCTTCTGTACTACTGCCTTCTGTCAAGGTAATTTAAGTATAGTTGTCGTATTTTCATGTACAGAATATCTAAATAGAAAAAAAAAAAAATATAACCCCTTGTCCACAATCTTGCTTTAATTTTTAAATCATAATAAATTGACCAACCAGAGTCGATTATTTTAAAAATAATCAACTGTGGTTAGTCAATTTTTTAAAAATTAAAAAATTGCGTAAGAAAGCAAGGTTATGGACAAAGGTAATTTTTAAACTGAAACATTTATATGCCGTCTATAATGGCAGTAGGAGTAATAGTAAGAAAGAAACAGTAAGCAAATTGATCACTTCCATTCTCACGATTCAAGAATAATCGATTGTGATTGGTCCATTTAAGCGTCGTCTACAATATGCGGAGTAAGTTTGGAGTAAGAAGTAAGCCGTAAGAATTAACCAATCATAGATGATTATTTTTATAATAATCGACTACGATTGGCCAATTCTTACGGCTTACTTCTTACTCCAAGCTTACTCCGCATATTGTAGACGACACTTTAAGCGTCTTCTACAATGGCAGTAGGAGTAGTAGTAAGAAATAAGCAGTAAGTAAATAGACCAATCACAATCGATTATTTTTGAAACGTGAGAATGGAATTGGTCAATTTGCTTACTGCTTATTTCTTACTACTACTCCTACTGCCATTGTAGAAGGCGCTTTATTTCTTACTACTGCTACTCACTGCTACTGCTACTACTTCTATTCACTGCTTATTTCTTACTACTACTCCTACTGCCATTATAGACGACGCATTGGTTGCGTTCGGTTTGGGCGCTTATGCGCTGTGTCATTCTATCTTCTTCCCGCATGTAATGAGCGATAAAGATAGAATGACGCTTACAGTGCGTAAGCGCCCAAAGCGAACGCAGCCAATATCTTTGATATTTGAGAGCGTTTCTTCATTTGTCACGCCGAAATATAAGCATTTTATGTGCATTTTTTTTACGAATATATAATTAATTCTTTTGCATTTTATTAATTGATATTTAAAGCATTTATTTAAATTTTGAGAAGTTTATAAAGTTAATAATACCGACGATGTAACGATAAGGACGAAAAAGATAATAAATGATGATACTCGTAATTGCGGTTTTCACGGTAATCTGGCATAAATAAACAAAATTGCATTTCAAGACATTAGGAATATGTGTACGTGATATAACTATAGGCATCGTAAAAATTAATATTATCACTCCTATTTTCAGTTCATCTTGATGGGAACCTATTTGAACATAGCGAGAAGAGCGGAGTGGTATGTAAATTGCACGTAAACGCGGATCTACAGATATCTGTTGAAGGCGAAAAAGAGTATTCGGATAACGATAATGAAACTGACAGAGAGTATTCTTCCACGAGTTCCAATAGTTCGATTGTGATGGAAAAAATTACTACGCGAGAACCATTACCAAGAGTTGCTATCGTAGAGGTGAGATGAAACCTTACACTCTATCTGTGTCATCACATAATAAATCAGCGTGGAGATCGTCGAACAATCACACGATGTTGTAAATGCATATCGTATAGCTTCGCGTAGTATATTCGTGCATCAAATGCACAATTAACGTTCTTTTTTTTATTCTCATTTGTAAATCCCGGTATTATTTGCGCACAATTGAAGTGGCTGCATATTATTTGGTGGTGGTAGAGCATGGAAGAGAGAGTTTATGTTGAAAAATTCACCTGAAGCTAAAACCCGAGATTATATAAATGAGTGAATGCATTTGTAATTTATCAAAGTGCTCCATGACTTTTTGTTCGCTTTATTGTAACAACCCGTAATACTTTATGCTAAATCCATGTTTACAGAAATTATGTTTACAGAGATCTAGATCCAAATCGTAGTTTGCGCATAGAAATCGTAGTACAGAAAATGAAACTTTTTGTGAGCGACCATTTTATCTGTATTACATTATACATCGAAGTTTTATTTGACTCTATGTCGCAGTGATACTGTATGGCAGAAACAAGAATCATTGTTATAATATTGTGAAGATTACGTTGTAATATTGGGAAGTAGAGCATGTTTCGAAAAAATGCAAAACAAAAGACGCCTAAATGTTTTTTTTTAATTATTTTTCATTGTTCCCAGCATCCCTTCCCTCGAATTGGCAATAGTGTGACCTAACGAAAAAAGTTTTATTTAACTTTACGCCCACCAGTGAGTGTTCTTTTTCAGTAATTGAATTTTTTTATGCGGATAATTATAGTAGTAAGTGAATGTATTAATCCCAGTTAGTAAAAACACGCTGCTTCATTCATTATTATTATTTGCTTAACTCCGAGATTTAACATGGTGAGTAACAATTCTAAATTATTACAACAAATACTTCTACAAAATAAATCATACAAATTCTAATACTTTAATCATTTTCAATCAATGTTTGCAAATTATATTTAAATATCAATCAAGTTTTATGCAGTACGTTTTATAGTATTATTTTACTCTAATTACTCTTCAAATAATATCATTATTAGAGTAAAGGTCGTAAACGGCAATGTACCTCACAGGTTCATCTAAGCAGCGAAGAGAGTGAAGAATCTCAGATGGAGGGAGAAGAAAGCAATCTTGAGACTAATTTTACATCATATGATAAAAATTCAATGGCAATGAAGAAAAAGACATTTCATCGTTTGTCTTTTAAATTGCAGAAGAAAGAAAATCAAGCAGAGGAATTAAATAATCTTACATCTAGTCAATTGGAAGCTATAATTGGCGGTAGTTTGTGTGAATAAACGCTCCATCACTATATAATAAATAATGCATTTACACATTATATAAATATATAATATAAATATTTCACACAAAAAATTTTTTTGCACTCTTTCTTTGGCTCGTTTAATATGTTATATAATTATTAATCTCGAAAATAATTCAAAAAGCAAAATTGACATTTGCACTTTTAAGTTGCAAATATTTATTATTATATAAATATTATATGATAACTATAGAGTGCCTTGATAAGACAAAAAATTAATGTCTAAGTTTAATCATATTTATATATTATATATTTCATGTATGTGATATATATTATTTCGAAAATTTTACTGTTATTTATTTATGTTTATTTAAATATATAAAACCATAATTATATATCAAAGTAAGCAATGCATAAAAGAATGCATTAACTTACATTTACATTACTTCTGTATCAGTTTTCTTAAACCGAGTTGAACAATAAAGTATTTTCACTGCCTTATAACTCGAACAAGCTTTACTGTTTATGGAAGTAATTCTAAAATATATAAATCTAGAATAATCACTTTTTATCATACATATTTTCTTTAAATTTTATTTAATAAGTTTAAATATTATATTTTTTAATTTTTCCTTCGCGCTTATATCGAGACATTGCGGCAAAGATTGTGTACAAAATAAGCTGTTTAGTAGTAAGTTGATATTTGTAATAGTGCTGTCAATTTCAACTACACGGGTAAGCGAATAAGTACTCGAGTATCCCGGGTCTTTCGAGTTTTACCCGAGTACCTGTATCTTTCAGATATCAATAGAATGGCAGCTTTATTTTACGTCCGTATATCTTCTATACATGAGTAACTTGTAGCTAAAGTTAATTCAATGAATAAAAATAATATATTATTTTTTTTAACAATATATATTATCATTTAATGAATAAAAATAAAATATATTTGAACATTTTATTAATTTTACAAATTATTAATTTTTTTTAACAATAACAAGTAATGAGCAAATGCATCGCATATTCGTAACTATTTATTATCTGAGTAATACCACGAGGGTAAACTATTTATTGCCCGAGTAATACCCACGAGTATGTGTGGATATCTGGGTACTTGGATAGTACTCGGATATAAAAATACCCGAGTTATACTGACAGCACTAACGTGTAAACCGTGAATGACACAAATACAAATAGTTGATAATTATATTACAATCGTGAAAATATTTAAAGTTGTATGTACTTATACATGTACATCAAGTTATTTGTAACAAAAAATTCAGGAAAAACAACCGAATTTCGGGATTTTGAGATCTATATATATATATATATATATATATATATATATATATATATATATATATATATATGTATACATGCCGATGTATGTTAATGCCGAAAATTTTATTATGTAAACATATACATGTAATCGTAAAGTACTTCCAGGTATAAACAGGATAAAAATTACATAAAATTACATAGTGCATTTTCTCATCTTGTGATGAAACAAAGTAAAACATCCTGCTTACATCCACATTTTAAATGCTGCGATAATTGTAACGCGATCTGATTTAACCCTAGGAAGCAATTATTTCTGATAAAAACCTGCAAATATTGAAATAAAAATAAAATCATTTCGACTTATATAATACGGATATTACAGGGTGATGGTTTAAAATTATACTGAAGACCATCTGAGTTCAATTAAAAATATAAATATAAAAACGTGGAAATAAATATATATTACAGGATCTCAGTGCTCTCTCTCTCTCTTTATGCATCCTAGGATTAAAGAGAGTCGATTTACCAAATTATTATTTATGTCAATTTGAAGAATAAATGTGATATGTACATATTATTACAAAGATACATATTATTTTTTGCAGATATTTGTAAAAAATATCAATATCAGTATTTAAGTGAAAACAAAAAATATCAACCCATACTTAGTTAATTAAGAATTATTTTCATGTAAAATGTGTACAATAGTGTGAGCTTAGCTTAGCTAATATTATTACATAGCAATATTATATGTTAACGCTACTATGATACAAAGTTATAATATTGAAATGTAATAAATGTACTTAATAGACGTTTTACCCTCTCATGCCAACAAATTTGAAACGATAAAGTAGATCTATCTATTCTGCTCATTTGTAAATGAGATTCCTTAAGTAACGTGAAATATATTGTTAATAAGGCTTTATATTTTCTTAATATCTAACAGTTTTTATAAGTATCAAGAAATACGTTAAATATAATAATTCTCATACTCTTATCACAAACTGTCAAGCATATTGCGTGAAGAAAGTGAAGATCTTTATAATTAATTAGAGGGTATTAAGTATAGAGTAATTCGAAATAGCATTCTTTGCGACTTTCATCTTAAATTAATTGCACTAATTTGCTTTACGAAACATATAATAATTTCGTGTAAGAAACATTTAAAATGTACATTATTGCTATAATTTCTACAAATTGCACAATTGCCTAATATTAATCATTAGAACAAATTTTTAAACAAATTTGAGAAACATTTTATATTCGAATATCAAAGTATTTATAAACGCAGTTATTAAACTCTTTGCTCACTGCCATAGTTTTGGTAAAGCTTTGGGCTTTCTTGTAAGGTGGAAGTTGTGCTTCTTGGGCTTGGTAAGTTTGAATCTGAAGCAGTCGATATAGTTTCCTCCACAGACGACTGATTCTTTCGCAATACTGGTGCGACGAAATTTTGGCCTGTCGAAAGATCCCTCTTCGGTGCTTGTGCCTGACAAAAAGACAGATCAATTGATTATAGATAAGTGATAGTCCATAAAGTCCATATACTTAAAATTATTCCTATAATAATTCTATAAATACCTTAGATTTTGAAAACGGTAACGCAGCACCAGTTACCAGACCCAAAATACTCGCAGCAAGACCACTGAGTTGCACTGCAGCTAATGGAGATAGACCTCTTCTTACTAGGCCTATGGCTAAAAGAGCAGCTTGCGCTAAAACAGGTGCAGCTCCTGCAGCACCGACCGCCGCTCCCGCCAATTGACCACCACCGATGCTTGGTCCATAAGCAAAGCATAAATTATGCCTGTCCACCTAATGAGATAATAGTTTTATTACGAGAGATTTAGACTTAGTGAGAAACAATGATTACAATTCAACGATAACAATAAAAAAATATCGTAACTATATCTTTAAAAATTTTCAGTTCATTATTTTCCAATGTTATTTTATCACTAATACGAAGTATTTTGTTTTCAACAAAGTATTTTTTAATTCTATAGTGCGTGTGTAATATTTGATTCTATTCTAATTGAAATAGACAAAAAAGTTTTTAGATCAAGAAACGGAAAATCTAAATAGTTCGTCAGAAAGTTCGTCAAAAAATTAAAATTTTGCAGTTACAACAGTTTTCAGTTGTAGTTGTAACGCACCAAATGTTTAACTACGAGATATAGCAAGCCAAAAGGAGTAATTAGAGGACACGCTAAGCTGTACACGGTCGTCATAGTGAAGACTAATAGTAGCCACGCGTAATGGGCTCCCAGTGGAAATTCCCACAACACCGCTTTCCTAACATGTATCCTTTCCGCCCTACTACGAGCTATACACAGTCTGAAGGTGTACAACGCAAGTTCCGGAAATCTGACCAATTCCAATCCGCTTCCGAGTAAGGCCGCTGTTATAACGTAATTTACAAAAAGTGCACCCTGTAAATTTTATATATTTAGTTAAACTTGTCTTACATAAATATAGAAGTTGTAAGAATAGCTATTTTACCTGATCTGGCAAAAATACGCATTCCCATCTTGCTGTGTTGTTCCGAGCATTTACTGTCCAATCTAAAAACGCTTGGGCACTAGTTAATCCTAAACTAGGTAATATAAGCACCATTAGCAGCAGGAGAAGTAACGTTTTTCTCATTACAGCACGATTTAAACTGCTTCTAGTCCAATGCCTAACGAGCGATTCACTTCTTGCAACTAGTACAGGCATTAGTGCAGATACACTCACTAATAGTACGGTAGGTAAAAAGGACGAAAGTACTGGACTCAGGTTCTTAATTTCCCCAGTTATTGGTAATTTGTTAACAGCTGTCACTATGACCTAAAATAAAAAGTAACAAAACATATCATATATCTTTTAATAATTCATTCACTAAAATGTAAATAAAATCGAGAAAGAATTTTTTTTTTAAATTATACAAAATAATCGCATTATTACTTTAAAAACAATTTTTTACGACTGGTCTTTTATATACAAATTTTTTTTCACTTATATAAGCTTTCTTATATAAATATATACATATATATACTCTTGTTATAAAAAAATTAACTTACAGCCGGTGTAGTAAGGAAAAATAATACAAGCCCCAAGGAGAAATTTATTAATACAGCATTTAGGTACCAGCATGGTCTGGGAATACTCAAATTTTCCCAAAATATATCTGACGGTGTTGGTGCGTAATCTACGATCCATTTTATAGACGGTGAAGATCTTAGCTGTTTTCGCATAGTTTTGGCTGCACCAGGTGTCCCTACCAATTATTCTTCATGAATTGTTTTGTTAATTATAAAAAAAATATATTACATATATATTTATGTATACAGTGATTGAATACCTAAAGTAACAAAAGCTACTCCAAGAGGTTTACTGAGTGCCACATTTTTTTCTTCCTCAACTAACGCCGTTAGCCGTATTTCTTCATTGGTGTAGAATTCTTGAGCATCTACTTGCTGTGAATTTTATAAATAATTAGATATAATAATTTATTTAATAATGCATTTAAAGCAATTGCTTTTACGTATTCACTGTTTTACTTTTTTGCAACAATGCCCAAGGACTTGACCGCATGGATGAGGATACATCTTCAAAGGTTCTCTTTTTTTAGCATAACTCTCGCAATATAAGCGCGCTTGCTCCACACAATCTCTTTCAGCATCCAATTTTGAAAGACGTCTTATATCATGAGCCAAAGTAATATCTTCCACTGTCAAAGTAGGAAATGCTTCTCTAAAAAAAAAAAATTATTAATACACGTAGATTTAAATATTACCAGCACAAATATTAAGGTAAAAGATTTTTCATGTATTTATCTTTTGAATTATACTTACAACAAAAATAATATTTGTTTTGTTTGTTTATTTGCGAAAATTAATGAAATATTCACTATAAAAGAGTTTTTTTCTTTTTATACATACTTGAAATACTCGGTGAGATTTTCAATAGTACATTGGTGTTTTGGTATATCTGTAATTAATAATGTTCTTGCTGCTAGTTCACCAGTAGGTCTGGTATCTCGTACCTATGAATACGTGCAAATTTATATATGTATAATATTATATACATTTATGCAAATTTATATATATATAATATGAATAAAAATGTATATATATATACACACATCATATATATATATAGTAATTATATATATACTATACATATAAGATTGCATACTATATATATAGCAACTATATATATAATTATATATATATATATATATATTATTAAAAAAAAATATATATATATTGAAGAGAATATTTTAAGCTGTATATATGATATGCATTTTATATAAATTAGTTTAATACCTGTTTCAAACAGCGTCTCATGATAAATCCACCAACTGGCAGATAAGATAAAATTAATATTGTATGTACCCAAATCCAAGAAGAAGTAGGCTCCAGATTTGATAATGTTGTATGACTAAATGTCGCACTATCTCCTTGCATATTTCCGTGAAAATTGATCGGTAAAGCTATACATAGTGACACGATTACCATCATACTGGTCAATATGATTAAGCAACGCTCAAACAAAATATATAATAGCCCATCAGGGCCGGCACGTTGTAACAATTCATTGTCACTATAATTACAAGAGTAAATTGTAAGTATACACTAAATATAACATAATATGTAAATAATAAAACGTTTTAAATATGTTCTAGGTACTAACGTAATCTTAAAAGCAGTGACAATCCATGACAGAAATCCTTTATCCAATTGAAAGACTTGAGAATCAATAGAAGCCTCTATGCACAAAGGATCAGTGTCTCTGTTCTCATTAACACCATAGAACAGCTCCATCCATCTGTTATCGGACTTGTGCAATAATGCAAGACGTCCATAGTTCCACGCCTTCTTACGTAATAGGCCAAATAAAATAACTAAAAGCTGCAAGATAACATTGTACAAGTGTATATCATTTTAATAAGCTAAGATCTTTTCATTATATGCTGATAAATAATTATTATTTTTATGATAATGTCTATCCCAATTAACAAAGATGTTAGGAACTTACCAGAAATCCTATTACATTAAGTAACAAGTTCTCAGGTATCCCTGCATAAACATCTGTAATGATTGTTCTATTGTTCCGAGGAAATGGAATGCATGTTTCTGGGGAAGGTGTATCACGCAGAGTCAAGCTGTAATAACGACATTATAAAAAATAAGGACGTGAATTACGACAGTGCATTATCCTTTATTCTTTAACAAAGAGAAATATGAATATAATTGAAAATATGTTGAACTATAACATTTAAATGATATAATACAATGTACTGTTCCATAATTTTATTTATACGCACTGATAATTTCAAGAAGCAATCTCAAATAATACATGCAATTCATAGATACGCACAAAGGAGTCACGGTTATGCACACGGTACAAGAGATAAATAAGATAAGCGTTGAGAGAGTGGAAAGTTAACCCGAAAGATATTGGTAACGTAAGAAAAAGCAAATACACAATTAACGCGCCTCGATTTTATTACTTACTTGCCGAAAGTGTAATCCATGGTCGACTGAAACACGTGAATCAGTATGCCGTTAAACAAATGGTATGAAACAGCATGTTAGCGAACGTGTGTCAATTTGACACATCGCATGTTAAGCGTAGTGTATCATATGAGCGTTCACTCTGCGTTTTTTTACGTCATTTTAACTTAAAAATCTGCAGAAAGCGTTATAGAGACCTCTCGCGGGGATTCTCGAACTACCAATTCGTACTTTTTAGATCTGTTCATTTTTAGGACTGTGTTTCGATTTCCCACCTGGAGTGCGTTCCAAAATTCAACTTTTACCATAGTTCTATATTATAGAAAACGGTAAAATTCAATTTTAAGTCTATCGTATATCCTATGTATAAGAATTATAATTTTTCTGACTTGTAAGGTCTGTTCTTTTTAGCTAAACTGTCTGAACATTAGTGCAATAAATTAGAGTGAGACAAATATATTTTATTTCACTCTAATTTATTGTACTAGTATGCATTAATTTAGCTAAAAAATAGACTTATACTCTTATCTCACATCTGACAAATATTTAAAGTTGATTTTTCGAGAAACAAAGGCTTGTATACAAAATTTGTATTCTATATTTTTTCATATAGTATCACTATCTTTTCACTTGTAACATTCTTGTAGTAAAACAATACACAATGTTTCACTCAAGTGAAACATCCTATATATTGTTTTATTAAATAATCTAGAATAAATAATATAAAAAAGAATATCAAATATTTCTTATATATTTATTAATAGTTACAAATAACACACGATTGCTTATTATGTGTATAGTATACTTAAACAAAAAAATTATCATTTCTTACAACTAAACATATAATGTCTGAATATAACAATAATAATATAAATACATTACACATATACAAAAATATACAAATATTTATATTAACTTGATTAATAACCTATATGATCAAATGTTCTGTGTATATTAACTTTATAAATTAAATTACACTTATATAAGTTATACAATAAACTTTTTTGGAAAAACTTTTATGTGTGTATATAAATTACACATATATAAATATTTCCTGCTATCTAAGTTATAAAAAAATTAATGATTCAATGGCTGCAGTCAGCAGAGAAAGCTTACTTTATAACTATTGTAACATTTTGATCAGTATATGCTTTTAATCATGACTGAATTTCAGAGTATATATCAGTCAAATTCACAATCTGACAATTGCAAAATAGCTTTCTCTGCTAAATACAGCCAATGTACAAATCTCTCTTCTTTTATTCCATAACAAATTTCAATTTGTATGTTGTATTCTCATAGAAAGAACGTGTATTTCTTCTCATTTTCTTTGATAAAATTTAGTTGATTGTAATTCACCTGTTGTGATAGAATCTATAATCCAGGTTTCCTTCAGGCCATTCGCGCCAACGGTAATTCTAGCGAGCTTGGGGTTTTCAGTAATATGCCCGCCTGCTGTCTTTATAAGTTCTTTAAGCGTATCATATGGCAGTACAGTTTTATGTTCTACATGTATGAGCCCACATGTGGTGAACAATTCTGGGATATACGATGGCCCAAATAATTGCCTGTCTTTCCGATTTTCCTGCAGAATATGTATATATATGCAATATATGTATGTATGCACAATATAGAAGTACATATATGTAAGAATGTGTGCACGTATAAAGCTTTACCAATACAGCTTTAGAGAAATGTTTCATCTCAAATTCTTCAGGATTCAACCATACGTTGCTTTCCAAGGATTTGAGAACCCATTCTAAAGTGATGAGCCAGCATCCTCTTATTATAGCTCGAAGTAGATTCACCGTACGCACACCTGTGCTCACCACGTGAGTCGTTCGTCTGGACACATTCAACTCCATTTCTGCCATGCCAAGAGATTTCACGATACTCTTTACTAAGCTTTTATCCCTGCATAAGTGAGACATATTATAATGTATTATACTGAGACAACTATACGAATTTGTGAAATAACACCAAGAACTATTTCAGTCGATAAAGATAAAAGTGTTTCAAATTAAGATGTTAATGTTACCCTTTTGATAATCCAGTTGTTACAATCACGATTTTTTGCGACTTATACTTATTCCGTTGAGTAGGTATCATCCGATGCGTCACGAAATCATTCGAGGAATCTCTATTTTCCATCGACAGATTTCCCTTATTTCGTCTACTTTCTTCCATTATACGTAACGCACTTTCGTTCACAAATTTCTTTATGACGATCTTCTTGCTAATGATTTTCCTCGGTTTTTTCGTTTTCTTATTTTCTTTTTTCTTATCTTCAGTTATATCATAATCGTCGTTCAAGGATACTTGTTCGTTTGCAATATTATTCTTGATATTAGTTGTATCATTCTTGGAGTCTTCTGTTTTTTTCTTTGAACGTTTCTTTTTCAATTTCTTTTTGTTTCTTTTTATAGTCATAGATTTTTCAGACATGTCGCTATATTCTTCTAACATCTCAATGGAACACAACTGAGAATTTTCGTGAAGTGGCATTAATCTTTTCTTGCCTCTTCTTGTTGTGACATTTTCTGCATTTTGTAAAGCAATTGTATTTCCTTTATTTGTTTCGTCGAGTCCTGTTTTATCCAATGAATCTTCAATAACCGTTGTTTTTTCTTGAACGATAAAAGGATTACACTCAAGTGTATCTTCTAAAACAACTGTGTCATCTTCAATTTTTCTCGATGTTGCAGTCAACACATGTGTTTTATACGAAATTGATGTCGGATTTCTGACGGTATGAGAAAATAAATTTGTATCAATTTATTGGACAATTTATAATAATTAATAATATAGTAATATAACTCTCAACATACGTCTATATACTTACAAATCATTCGATTTGGCTCCACTATTGTTCTTCTCATTGTTAGCCGAAGTAGAATCATTGCTGCAGGATGCCGTGCTGTTATTATCCGAATTTAATGTTTTATGTTTTAATTGCCTTTTAAACAAGACTGAACGACTTATTGGATACGGAGTTCCTTCAACATAACTATTTCTACTGTTATTATTTGCACTTTGAAACTTAGTGCTTATTACATTGTTAGATCTAACATCTTTCGTTCTTTTTTTATTTCTCGTTTCGGGAATTTCCAACTCATTGTTGTGAGAAGCTTGATTCCGCGTGGAGATGTTTCTTAATCTCTCAATTAAACTGATGTTTTCCAGAAAGTCTATATCATTCGCTTCTGTGTTTTCAACTACTGACGAATGATCTGTTAGAGATTTGTTACTTTTATTTTTAATTGGAAATTGTTCATTACGGCAATCACTATTCCTTTGCCGTGTTTTGCACATCGAATCCATAGATGTATTCACTTGTAACGAAGTGCGATTGGTATTTATACTTTCACGTTGATTATCCAAAATCTCATTATTAGTTGTAACTTCAATGTGTCGATTAGTAACAATGATTCCACGATCATCCGATTTTTGTACACTTTTTCTTTCGCTAGTTTCAGTTACTACATCCAATGATGTATTTACATTTAAAGACGATCGAATTGAGTTACTATCAGAGAGACTCAACGTACATTGCCTTTTATTTTGTTTCTTTATTTGATTATTCTGCTCTTGGGCTTGCAATACATCACGTGTCTCTGCAGCAAGTGTTATTTCTTCAACAGGTGCTGACTGTGTGGGTACAACTGTTGTATTTGCACACACAGCTGTTACATTTCGATTATTTTTAGTGTCTGAGAGTGTGCTATTATTTTGTAAAGCAAGCTTGTTTAAAGGACTATTAATATTTTCTAATCTTTGCACAGACATTATATTCTTACTTTTCTCCACACTTTCACTGTTGCATTTTTTTTTCTTGGTATTTGTATTACTATTGTATGAATCTTTGCTTGGCAAAGATGAATGTTTCCCTATTGAGTAGATACCACCATGAGCTTTTGTCATTTCCATAGATGTTAATGTGTTTATCGTGTGAGTATGTTGAGATAAATCATCTTGCTGGCTTGCTTTATTATCAGGGTTGTTATTCCCTTCTTCTTCATCCTTTGCATTATCCTCAATAAAAGTAGAGCAAGTAACAGGCTGTCCTATATTAATACTGTGATCAGAGTACACAGTTAAGGGTGAGTTATTATGATCTTTAAATTGACTTTGCGAAAATAATTTAGATCGTGATCTCAGTAGCTGCAGTCTTCTGTTGCTACCGCTTAGTATAGGACTGTCACTTCGATCTGCTTGTTTGAGGGGGAACAGTGAAAAAGGTTTGTCCAAAACAATATCCTCTATGATTCTACATTCTTGCTTTTTGCCCTTCTCTGTAAATAAACGTTTAGGAGTTAATTTAGATCTGTTTACAACATTTTCCGAATTTCTTCGTCTTTCACCATTCTTTGGTGTAGCATCAATATCGGGATATGCATTCTCTCCTTGTTGATTGTTTACAGTATCATTATATTGACTGCATGTTACAGATCCTTTGTTTTCAAAATATTGATTGGTTAACTTGTTAGTATTTAAATTACGCATATTACTCACAGAACAATCCGCCTGGCTTGTCAATACCATTGCAGTTTTTACAGAAAGCTCATCCTGCTTATTAAATATCTCTTTAGTCTTATTTAAAATTGCATCCTTTAAGCGTTTGCAATTTATAGCAAGAATTTGCTCTTTAGCATTTATGTCCTCTAAATTTATCGTGAGACGTTTTAATTGTATTCCTTCTTTGATTTGTAGAGGTAATTTGCTGACATCATTTTCAGAACATTTATTTCTCTCACTTGTAATTTCTGAAGTTCTATTGCTGGTGTTACACCGATGTTTGCTGCTCGATAATCTTTTATTAATTTGCAACCTGTTCATCCTTCTTTCATCGTTCTCGGTTTGTGTTCTTCCAAGGGAACCATTGCCAGAATCTGACAAATTTGTGCAGTAACTTAAATTAACTCTCAAAGAGCTACGCCGATTCTTGAAGTTCTCTTCATCTTCGTCCGACGTTGTCATTCTTCTTTTGTTAGGACTCATCGTCGATCTATGTTGTTATACTGTCAACAGGTTAGAATTGCATACCATTATATTATGTATATTTCTCACTAATGTTTTTAGTATTATATGTTATTACTTCTTATTTGTATATTAAAAGATGTTCGCTAGAGTATAAATTATATCACTCGATATATATAGTAGAAAAAAATGATTATATATTATAGTCTCTCCTGCAGAGTTTTGTCTTATTAACAAAAATCACTATTATATACTATTATTTTCACACATTATTCGAGATATTGACTATTAAAATAAATTTCATGTTTATTGACATTATAGATCTATCCTTTTTAGCTGAACTATCTGAACTGGTACATACTAGCGAGATAAATGTTTTGTTTGTGTGAATGGACATACATACATACACAACATACATATAGCTGCATCATTCTATGGGTGCGTTCGCTTTGGGCGCTTACGCGCTGTAAGCGTCTTCTATCTTTAGGGCTATCGCACACAAATTGACATAACTGCATATGCATAGCATAAGATCGTATGGACCAATGAGCATCGAATATTAAACATCGAACACCAATATGGCGACTTAATACTCAATGCTCATTGGTACATACGGTCTTATGCTATGCATATGCAGTTATGTCAATTTGTGTGCGATAGCCCTTATCAAGCATTACTGCGTCCTGTGTGCAGAGCCATTACAGTGCACTCAAAGCAAACAAATATGTATTTGGGTGCTTCCAAAATACCCAGAGTTGGGTCGAGTTGAGTTAGTTCCACTATAGTATATGTAACGGATACTATAGTGGAACTAACTCAACTTGACCCAACCTGGACATTTCGGAAGCACCCTTGTCTCACTCTAACTTATTGCACCAGTGCAACAGTGCAGAGCAAAAGAACAGATCTTGGGAACTCTGGAAACGTGAGAAGTGTGCACAGAAACTCTGCTCCTATCACTAAAGGGACGTCTACATTGGAAGTAAATAGCAAGAAGTAGGAAGTAAGAGTAAGAAATTGACCAACCATAGTCGAATGTGAGAAGAATAATCAACTATGATTGGTCAATTTCTTATTCTTACTTCCTACTTCTTACTGTTTACTTCCAATGTAAACGTCCCTTATAAGCGTCTTCTACAATGGCAGTAGGAGTAGTAGTAAGAAATAAGCAGTAAGTAAATAGACCAATCACAATCGATTATTTTTGAAATGTGAGAATGGAATTGGTCAATTTGCTTACTGCTTATTTCTTACTACTACTTCTACTGCCATTGAATAGAAGACGCTTAAAGGGACGTCTACATTGGAAGTAAACAGTAAGAAGTTGGAAGTAAGAATAAGAAATTGACCAATCATAGTTGATTATTCTTCTTACATTCGACTGTGGTTGGTCAATTTCTTACTTTTGCTTCCTACTTCTTGCTATTTACTTCCAATGTAGACGTCCCTTAAAGCTGGTGGCACATAGAAAAACTTAAGCAGTAAGAGGTAAGCAATAAGCGAATCAGCCAATCACAGTCGTTGATTCTTGGAGATTCTAAAAAGAATCAACGACTGTGATTGGTCAATTTGCTTACTGCTTACGTCTTATTGCTTAAGTTTTTCTGTGTGCCGCAGCTTTTACGGGTGCTTTCCAGTTGCGTTACACAAAACCAGTTTATTGGTTGCATATTATCTTACAAGATATTTTAGATAAAATGTGACCAATAAACTGGTTGGTACGTGTGTGTCAAGATGTGTTAAGCAATTGGAAAGCAGCCTGTATATATGCCTGTATATAATACATTCCCTAGCCGTCGAGTTGCTCAGATGCTGCAGGTACAACTCGGTGACAAGTTTAGTGAGTGTGACTGCCAGACTGTAAAACGAAAATGAGCAAAGTACAGGTAAAGTGTCCATACGTTAACGTTTTCATACATTGTGATTTCACCAAGATGAAATCTTACATCATTCAAACAAATTTCCTAATTTTTATTATTCTCTGATAATTAAAAAATATATCTACAGAAGTAATAACTGTATTATTAAATTGACAGATAGATAAGGAGTTGAAGGAAGAACAATATTTCATTAATTTTAATAAAATTCCTTAGTATCGTTGAAATTAATATTATTTTTTAACTTACTATATAGGAAAAATTCCTTAAAAAGGATGAAATTAATCTCTTCAATCCTACTATATTAGAGAAACTGTCATTACCAGCTACAGATGGATTACTTATAAGACCTCTAAAAAGTACAGATCATGAGAAAGGTACATTAAATATAATGTCTTTCTTTACAATAGTTATTTTTTTACATTTCCATAGAAAAAATATTTATAAAAATTATGTTGCAAATATATAAAAAAACGAACGTTATAAATAATTTGTTATACTCCATCAGGCTACTTGGTACTTTTGTCTCAATTGACTGATGTTGGAAATAATATTACCAAGGACCAATTTCTAAGTAAGTTATCACAAAGACTGATTCTTAATCTACAACAGAAACTGTAGTAGTTATTATTCTTCTATTGTTCAGATAGATTTTTTAGCATAAAAGCTGCAGGTGGTTACTACATTGTTGTTATAGAAGACATATATACTGGAAAAATAATTGGCTGTGCTACATTACTTGTGGAGCAGAAGTTTATTCATAACTGTGGCTTGGTATATAACTTTTTATGCATATTTTCTGATTCCTCTTGAAATAGAATAAACATGATATGAAAAATACATAGATCACACAATTATAAAAATTTCTTACAGCGAGGTCGTTTGGAAGATGTAGTGGTTGACAACAATTACAGAGGAAAGTCATTGGGCAAACTAGTGGTGACTATTATAGTGCAGTTATCACGCTACTTTCACTGTTATAAATTATCTTTAGACTGCACAGATCGTTTAGTGCCATTTTATGAAAATATTGGCTTCAAACGGGAACCTAACAATGCAAACCATCTTAATATGCGGTTTCCAGGTGACAATGTTACTGAACAGTCCCATTTATAGCAATAGATCAACTATTTTATTGTGGCCTTATCTACTATAAAAATATAATTAAAATTCTTATCCATTTAAGTATTAATTTCTGGAGATTGAAATAATTCATATTTTTTATGGAGAAAAAATATCAAATTCTCTAATATCTCACTAATAAGTAGGAATAAAAAGTATATGTTCTACTTGTAAGTTATTATCTATAATATTGATATTTGTACTTGTAATATTGGCATGTGTTAACATGCTGACAAATTTTAGATCTTAAATTATTTAACTTACTATTTGTATTTTGACCCTAAAAAAAGGGCTCTTACATATGTATATAAAATATTGTCATAGACTGTATAGGTTGTAAAAACAAGTAATTGTTAAATAAAATAATTTTTCTTAACATATGTATATTTTTCCATGCATATAATATTAATAAATAATGTTGTAGAAAACAGTTTTGAATGAATCTTCTTTTTTTCTCTCTTACGTCGCGCGGACAAGTTATAAATACAGAAAATACTTTCATCATATTATTCGTAGTATTTAATTCACTTAATGTACAATAGAATGTTCAATAATATACGGTGTGTAATTATTTTATTTAAATCTTCTTAGCGGCTGGATTGGTTCGCAATTTCACTGCTCGTTTCGCTTCCATTTGTCTTTGCCTAGCTAATTTGCGTTCCTCTCTTTTTCTTTTTGCTTCTTCAAATTTATTGTTTCCACTAGGAACGCCTATTATTCAAGAGACATTTGTTTTAATAAATATAAATTTAATAAGTTGGATAATAATTTTCAAAGTAATATTTATCACTCAAGAAATCGGATATACCTGTTTGCTCTATAGGTTGAACGTCTTCGAAAGGCTGAAATTCCGAATCTTCCCATCCTACCTCGGAAGAATCATTTTTTTCTTGAACACCTTGGGCTGCTTCTTCCTCCTATATACAAACATTTAACATATTACTGATAACGATGATATACTCGTTAACCAACCATGATGTTGTCGTTATCTTGTTTTATTTATGCTAATGTGTCTTGGTCGACCGTACCCGGCTGGTCGGTCGCACAAACCGAATGTTCGTGTTCAAAGAAACAAGTTCTGTATTTATATCTACAGGTTGCCCTAGAACCTGTGTACTGCAGTTAATTTGTATAAATCGTGAATCGATTTTAAATTGATATTAATAAAAATTTAGACTTAAATCTCTCACCCATTATCTTTATTTGTCATTAACTATCTAATTACTAAGTTTTAAATAAAAATGGAGTTTTTAGTTTGCGAGGAATCCCTTTACTTTCGATTTGTTTGAGATTTAAACGGTAATAATGTTTCGATGCTTTTGTTAAAGTGAAATAGACTCTAAACCGGTTTTAATACCCGAGGGCTTAGGAGCGAGTTCTCGATCACGTCACACACATTTTATAGCGCTCGGCGATAACTACTATCAAGTTAGATGGAGTATTTAGCGAGAACCTTGACTTAGCGCACGAAAGTTTTGCAAGATGCCAAGTAACAAACCGGTTCCTCCTCAAGGCTAGTCCACTGTTCATTGGCCTTGGGGGAGTGGCCGGACGGTGATATACTACTGGCTGGATTTAACGGCGTCGACGACTGCGTAGCAGCGGGTTGCTGTTCCATGTCGCCCCAATTATCAGCATCCCAACAATCCCAATCGCAATCGGAATTCGTATTCTGCGTGTTTTGCGTATCGTGCTCGTAGTCGGGATCGAGAGAAGTCGTGCTCGTTGCGCTACTCGTCGTGGCGGTCGTGCTTGCGCTGCTCTGCGAGCTACTGGCCTGTTCTAAAGTTAACGTATAGAAGTATCATTATTAAATAAATATATAATTTTTCGCCGAAATATTCAGTTTTTTTTTTATATAATTACACACTAATAAAAAAGGAAGAAAATATTTCAAGCAATGTAATATAATGCAGACAACAGATGCAAACCTAAGGAAGCAGGTTTATTCAATAGGATTCTAGACGTGTTCTGGGCATTCGACGATTTTGGCGTGTCCGACTGACTACGATAAAACTTCGCCGTGACCGCAGTAACAGCCCATCCAGCCCATGTAGCCGCAGCGTTGCTGAGACTGGGTGTCGCTGTATTTACGTCCGCCTCTACAAATATTTCAAATATAGCAGAATTCTCGAATTAATTTCAATATAGTATTTTCTCTTCCTTAGTCATTTTCGCAAATTGTATAAATTTTTACTCAACACTAAGTAAATAATAAAATCCTTATTTTATATTCGTAATGTTAGTACTGCATCAGTTAGCATAAACATTACGAAAAAATTGGGTATTTAAAGTGTTTACCCATTGATTCACGAAGTCCAGGATCTTCTGAAACCCTTTCGAGCTTAGATAAAAAACCACGGATGGTTCGGAACGCATTGTCTCTCACTCCTTTGTCCAAGTCTGTGGTGAGCGGACACAAAGCTGGTAGAATGCGATTGGCCACTTCCTGCAGTAGATAGTACTGTTGTGTTGCGGCCAGAGCCAATATACTCGCGGTTCTTGCCGGAGGAAACGGGTCGCGAGTACCACGGATAAAAGCGCCGATCAATACCTAGAAGAGACCATGTCCAGTAACTTAACAAACATTATTATATTAAGCAATGTAAAAGAACTCGATAATCAAAAATCACAAAATAAAACTGCTCCCTACATTTTATATGTTGTAATTACATTTTCTTATAAATATCATGGCATTGTACTGAATCAGTGCAATGTCACATCTCTTAAGACACACAATCAAAAACTTTTCCATGAAAAACCTACCCTGATCGATAGGAAGAGAAATCCAAAAATAAAGTAATCTGGAAAAAAGGGGGGTAGGAAGATGAAAGAGCAGCGGTTGTGTCCCAAATGGAACAGATATCCATTGAAGAAGAAGAAGAGTAGTCGTATCGGTTGGACAGCTAGGAATATACCAGGTTCCAATCGACATTACCTTTTGTCTGATTTGTGGATGAAGATGTTGAGCAATTTTTCCAAGGCAAACAGTGGTATTTGTGCGGATACCACCGTGTTCATCCTTTGACTGAAGTTTCGCGAAGTATCTTAAAATCTCGACGTTCAGATTATTGTAATCTAACTTTGGTGCTAAATATACGACCGACTTGATCGTTTGACCCCTGATAGCTGCATTCGTATCGAGAAAACCTCTTGCTACCTGCAAGAGATAATTATAATATAATATATATAACCAAAGTTGGGTAATAACTAGTTAATTAGTTAAAAATGAAGTTGGAACATTAAAAAATTAATAACTTTTAACTTAATTTAGTTAATTTTAAGTAAATTAACTTTTAATTTAAACTAGTTATTTTAAAATGCATTATAATTTTAATTTATTAAATTTTTCTTATATAAATAAAAATAATCCATTAACACTTAAATCATTGCTAATAATAACTGCTAATAATATAGAATAAGAAAAAAAAAAATAATGACAAAAGAATTTTTTGTTTTTCTAAGTGTCAGTGTTTTTTTCTTGTACGAGATTCTTAATAAAAATAGTTAGTATTTTTTATATAAAAAAAATTTTTTTTCATTAGCAATCCATAAATTTAATTTTCAATTGAAAAAATTATTTATGCAAAAACATATATTGCTTTGCAGAATTAACTCTTAACTTTAAAAAGTTAATATTAACTTTTAATTGATCTAGTTTTCGTTTATGTAATTTTTAACGTAAACTAAATTAACTTACATTTTAACAGCATTAACTTAATTTAGTTTAAAAAAATTAACTTATCCATGATATATAATTAGAATTTTTTTCTATATATGAATTTTATAAAATTTTCTTTATGTATCTAATGAAGTTTTATTATAAGTATATATTATATTATTGCATCACTATAAAATCTTTATATTCTTTAGTGCTCGAAATATATCCTAAGTTTCTAATCGACAAAATCATTACCTGTGGAAAGATGGCCTCATTAACGGTTGCCGATTGCAGGTGATCGACGAAACGATCTAGTTGCTGCAACAAACGCAATCTTGTCGCTCTATCGTTCGACGCAAAAAGTTTTACGACACATGGCACCACACGGCGTTGGTACTCGACGTCGGGTAACTGACAACCCAACTGTAACAGTGGTGGTAGCACCGCGCTACCGGCATCCCCGAACTCGAAGGCGGCCAGCAATTGTGGCAGGATCTTGTACCGACCAACACCGTCGGGGAATGAATCTAGTTGAGCCGCTAACTGCGCGAAGAACCGTCCCTTCTCGCCTCTCTCCTTCATCTGTATCTCCTCCAGGAACAACAGAGCATCCACAAGATTGTTCTTGAAAAAGCCGCCGTTACTGCGGCAACGTGCTATCACATCTGCAGGATTCGGTCTTCCTTCCGGATTACCGCCGGTCAATTCTCGATACACTGCCGTTATTTGCTTCGGAATCTTAGAAAGTAGAACAAATGCCGTCAATCCACAATAACTTAGAATTATATGATACATCATAAACTTATGATATAAAATAGCTAACAGCTTACCTTGTCTGTAATTTTTAATTGTGACGTAGTGTTGAGCGTGCCGTTATAGGTTTCCCAGATCAGGCAACCGAGTCCCCACATGTCGACTGAGCTATTTTTTTATTCATTCACATCAGTTTCATAGTGTTAATATTAAACCTGAATGTTTACATATAGAAGCTGGTACTTTGAAATAATAGGTATAAAATAACTTACTTAATTACACTTAAGATATTTGCTGAAGTGTGAGGATTAATGGGAAAAGTACATTTTTTTCACAATTCTACTCTACTTAAAAATATGCAATGAGTTCTATCATGTGCCTAGACATGTTAAAAGTCTCAGTAAAGTCAATATAATCAGTTTACCATTTAGTCACTGGTTTTGTATTTTCTTTAGCCTCTGGTGGTTGATAGACTTGGAAAGCAGGGGGTAACAAATTATAAGGTGTATCCACTGCAGTCATGTACTCAACCCCACCGAGTTTCCATTCACCGCTCTCTTCGTTGACAAACACTGTCCACAGATTGACATTATTATGCCGTAAATTCCCGTCATTATTTAAGAAGTTAAGTGCCCTCTGCCATCAAATTCAAGTAATATGTATTATAGATTTTGTCCTGTGTTCAATTGTGCATTGTTTAGAAGTTTCCAACATACAATGCATATATTCATTTATACATACTGTAATTTGAAATATACCCCAGGAAAAGTATAATTCGTTCTTAGATGCACTTTCAGAATTACATTTTCGTGTCAAACGGTTATGCAATGGTTCCACACGTTCTGTTGCTAAGTAAACCATTTTGTCAGTCTAAAGTAATGGAATATAGATTACACACTCTATTCACACAGTTACAATATTAGTATAGAAGACTGATACAACTCATACCTCAAGACTGTCAAGATATGCGAGTATACTTGGATGCCTAAGTGTCTTTAGTCTTTTCACAGCTGAACGGGCAATGTCCAGTTGTTGCTCTCCTCCATTCTTAACATCAAAAACAAAAACTGAAACATCCTCTCCTGCTGTAGTACCCTGTACAAAAAACAATATATTTCTGCTGCTAGATTATAGAAAAATATAACAAAATTAAACAAATTATACAAAATATAATATTGAATGCTGCAGCAAAATAGAACATTATATGCTATATATATACAATGTTCTTTTTTTATTACATATAATTGTACATATAATTTAAATTTAAATAATTTTAAATAATTTTATATCTCTAATAGTGTATTATATCTAATAAATTATTTTTATCATATATCTGTTCTTTTTCAAAGAACTTTTTGAATATACTGGTATGATAAGTTAGAGTGAAATAAGTATATTCTGTTTCACTCTAACTTATTACATCAATATACACTAGTTTGGAAAGTTCTTCGAAAAAGAACAGAACACTAATTAAATTACCTTTCTTTTGGCTCTGTGTAGTGTCCATATACTTTTGTTTTCCGAACCTAAGATAGGTTCTCCGATATCATATGGGAAATCTTTGGCAGGATCTTTTGAAAAAAAGGACCACATTGTACAACTTATGTCTCTATATACAGACTACGCTCAATTTTCAATGCGATGTATCATGAAACATTATCACTGACAACAATGCATCAAACCTGTAAAACATAAAAACCACTAGCTCATTGTATTTATTTCATTTTATTATTATATGTATCCTTTACTAGTTATGTATCTATTTAATGTACGTCATTGAGAGGTAATTATCTATCTAGTTTCCACACCAACCGCGTCATATCTGCGTCATGAACGCGCAATGCTTTCCTTTTTTTACATAAATATAGAAAAGAAACTAATTATTGTGGACTTTTCATTAGATTTCTGTTTCGATAATGAGAAACTCGTTTGCCGACAATCGAATATCATAGCCGGGCTCGCTTACCTGCGAAAATAGGAAGATTCTAGCTGCATGCAAATTCGAAGCTACATACTCTTCGAATCCATGTGACAACATGAGTAACAGATGACACGTCATTTTCAACACACAGCTGTAATTGATCGGTAAAAAAAGTCGGCGCGACTCGGATTAATTGGCCGCGTCCAGGAAAATCGCTTTGTGAGCGCTTTGCGATGCGCTCTCAGTAACTTATGGTTTCTGCTGAACGCACTTTTATTGTAATTGGTACTGTCTCTAAGATGGCGCTAGAGTCGCTCTAATAATAGAACTCGAAGAATTGAGGTCGTGGTATGACTCAACAATCCAGAAGACGAATTTTATTTTTTAAGTAGTATTAGTCGACAGCAAGTCAGCCGCCTTTATTTTACTTGAAAAATAGGTAAAATTCAACAGACTACAACTTTGAAAAGGACGATAATGAAATAGTTCTTAGAATATTTAACAAATTAAAGTCTCTAGTTTCCATCTATATTAATGTCGCCATCATATAATTTTTCATTTACAACTTTGTCAAAAAAATTTAGCATATGATGGATATTGATTCATATTCGCGTAACATCGTAAAAAATAAATTTTATATTAAAAAAATAGACTTGAGAAGTAGTTACTTTAAATTATAAAATGTTTTCTGAACTATCTAATTAATTTTGTAGAATATATAATCTGTTGAATTCTGCTTATTTTTTATCAGTAAAAATTATCTTTTAATTTTTATGTGCTATGTGTTGTCTGTTATATTCTCTCTTTCTCAGAAAATTCAAATAAAAAGAATAAATTTAATTCATTTAGAGAGGAGTGTTTGTGGTTGCCAATATATTTTAACAGTTTTCTATAAATTATATACAGGAATGTGTGTGTATGTGTGAATAACAGTTGTATTAAGTTTAAGATATTCTTCTGAATTTCATTATGTTATACGAAATAATATATTATCATACCATATATGTGTGACACAGTATGACGATAAGTATTATTTTACATATAATGAATATATATATGCATATGCAACATAATAAAAATAAAAGTAATTATTTTTCTTTATTAATTTTTAGGTAATTCTCTAAGTAACAATGATAAATGTCTTATATGCGTGTTATCCTTTAAATAATCATAATTTAATAATAAGGTTTCAAATTATACATGTTTTTAATATATAAATTATCAATATACTAATATATATTTTGTTTTTGTCTATTTTCTATAATTATATAACTTAGTTAAAAAGATTATTTATGCATATATATGTTTTAGAGAAAGAATGCAAATGCATATATTTAAAATTATAAGTTCCTATAGCTTATAAGTTTTTATAGCTACAATATCTTGTTAACCATCCGTGATATCTTTAGCCTGCAACAGATATTTATATATTGACTAAGCAACAATATCTTTTAAGGAAAGTTATTAGCTATTTTAATTTTTCTTATAATAATGAGATCAAAAACTATAATACCAGCTAAAACTATAATGTAGCTATCTATATTTTTGAATTACCCATTCTCGTGCCATAATCTTTATCGTTGTGCTATCTAGTTTTGGTCCAATCAATGGATTCATTTGTGCCATATAGCAACACAGCCAACTGTATATAACATTCATTGACAGATTAATATATAAATTACCATGTTAAAATGCTATAGAACACATTATACTTACAACAACCAACATGTAAAAGCTGTCATCACTAGTATCACTTGAAGTATTCTAGAAATATATGTTAATATATTTAAAAAACATGTAACTGATACAAATGATATTTTGTAATAGTAACTTGTTTTAGAGGTATCTTAAAGTTTATCAGTCTTAAGCCTATATTAATAATTATTACTTGAAACTCATCTCAAGAGAGATATTCAGATTTGAATTTAGAATTAGATGCCTTTTATTTGAATCATGACTACAGATATAATTCAACAGAAAAACTTGGATCTTGACTAAAAATCTGAGTATCTCACATGAGGCGTTTCAAGTAACGATTATCAATACAGCTTTTAAGCCCTTATTTTGAACTCACTTTTATTATAAGTCTCAAAAGATAACTCGTAAGCTTTCTAATTAGATCATAAGCACATTTATAAGCACTCTTATTGATAAAACAAAGTGTAAAACAAATCTAAGAATATTTGGTTGATTTAAAATGCCATAGCTGTATTGTTAATAAGTTACAGTTAATGAGAGTTATTACTTTATAACAGAGTGATATTTTATGATAAATAAATTAGATGTTTGATAAGTCCATTAACTTAAATCTACACATAAGTAAAAATTACAAAAGAAAATAAACAACAATAAAATATTTACCCACGGTTTGGTCCCTTAGGAATGAAGAATGGTAAACCTATCCCTACAATGCCCCATATGATCGTGAAAGCCAATATAGGTATCGCCGATGCTCCCATTGTTCTTCTGTTTTGACTATCTGATTATGAAACCTTTCGAAACTCGTAGTCAAAGAACCGAAGAACGTACAGTATGCGAAATTCTCAGAACTGTTAAAAACAGGGAGGATGATCACATGAAAGATCTTCACGTGACATATCGATTCGACTGAAAGACTTGCGCGAACGTATGTATGGCTGCGTTCCGAAATTCACTGCCAGTACTGAAATTCTATAGTATATGCGACATGAACTATAGATTTTCAGTACTGGCAGTGAATTTCAGAACGCAGCCATATAGAATTCAATTCTCCTGGAAAGCTATTCTTTTATTGGATATCGGACGTCGTACGTCGGACATCAAACGCAGTGTGAATCCTGCATTAGCTCATAAAAGATCTGCACTTTTGGCTGCATTTTCTCAACTAAAAGAAAGGTTTAAACACGCTTTTTCTTTCAAAGTATTCGAAATTGAAGCCAACATTCAATGGGACGAAAGTTCGTTTCTGAGTAATTTTCAGAAAATAATTTTTTTAGTGAATATCAAAAAAACATTTCTTCTTCCGAGTGTAGCTATAAAGAACAGACTTGAAGTAGGATCCACTTGCCGTTGTAATATTTCAAAGTCCTATATAGACCAATCATAATCGTTCTTTATTTCAAAAGTTTTGTAGCTTCAAATGGATCTTATTCTTGAGATATAATTGATGTGTTTTGAGTCAATGTAGTGTCCTGACGTGTACATTTGCTTGTAAACATTATTTAATTTCACGTTATTTATCAAGAAAAGTTCGTGTTGTAGATTTCATATCAGAGTATGTATCACGATTATTACTGCTAAAAAGAAGAAGAAAACACTCAAAGAGATCAGTCGACAGCTGAGATTAATGTAAGCAGTCCGCATCTCTATGAGACAAAAAAAATGTGAGCAGGAATAATATTGTTCAACTGAAATGATCCGAAAGGTTCAACCACATTTTTAATGTTAGCTTAATTTTTCCGAAAGTCTGTGATTCTGTTTTATATGAAGCATACATGGTAGATTCCTAATACGTTTTTCTTGCGTTTGTGATTATGTCGAATAACCTCGAAATAGCATGTGACATGTAACGAACACATTGTGTGCTTTGATGCGATAGTCTGTGACAAATGATTGTAGCGAGTTGAGCATATTGCCGTGCGCGACCCTTGCTCTGGGGCGGAACAGCTGATAAGTCAGACACTGTGAAACTAGTGCCCTGTTGAAGTGTTTCTTTTTTTTTTGCCAAGTACTATTGGAAAGAACATTGCTCATTCAAAATGAAGAAAAAGGTAGGGAAGGAAATATATATATTATATTTGTATATAATATATTTTCAATATTTCTTTAGATCTTATCTCATAGTTTTATCAAATAAATGGGCAGCATGAGCTTTCTTGTATCTTCCATATATATAGAATTTGTTGTATTTAGTCAGATATTTTTCCCTGTGTATGCGCAATACAATATATATAATTTTGTGTTATTTTTAAGGTTTTGTTAATGGGGAAGAGTGGGTCGGGTAAAACAAGTATGCGCAGTATCATATTTGCAAATTATATTGCCCGAGATACCCACCGTCTAGGAGCAACAAGTAAGTTATACTGACAGTGAATGAAGAGAACATTTGTCATTTTTTTAGAATAAATTTATATTAAAGATGATTTAAGTTAAAATTATAGAAAAGATATAAATTATTTGATAATAAAAAGCAAATATTTTTTTATTTACTATATATTATGATAAGTACTTATATTTCCTATAGAGCTTACTATAATAATATAATGAAATCTAATAATAATAATAATATTAATATGATGCAATTTGTTACAGTTGATGTAGAACATTCTCATGTTCGTTTCCTTGGCAATTTGGTGTTGAACTTGTGGGACTGCGGAGGTCAAGAGGCTTTTATGGAGAATTATTTTGCATCACAGCGGGATAACATATTCAGAAATGTAGAGGTGTTAATTTACGTCTTTGATGTAGAATCGAGGGAATTAGACAAAGATATGCATTATTATCAGAGCTGTTTGGAAGCGATACTGCAAAATAGTCCAGAAGCAAAGATATTTTGCCTTGTTCACAAAATGGACCTTGTACAAGAAGACCAACGCGACTTTATATTCAGGGAGAGAGAGGAAGATTTGAAAAGACTGAGTTTGCCATTAGAATGCACTTGCTTCAGAACGAGTATATGGGACGAAACATTATATAGGTCAGTGCTCTGTCATGATTATGAGTGTATACCAGTTCTCAAAATTGTTTGAACACTTTTCTTTTAATACAGTTTGGCATACAGATAATGGTCCATTAAAAGAAACATAAACAATTATAACAGAAAAGGCTCTGATGAATTTAGAAAACAAGAAGTATTGAATTTTTAAGAGCTAAGCACAGTTGTTTAGTGGTGGAATATAAAATATACATCTATCTCATAGAGTATTTAAGTTTATCAATTATAATAACAAATCTCACATTTCATGAGATGTGTGTTTTGTATTCTATAGCAGTAAAACTATCTATAGCAGTAAAACAACTGTGCTTACTTCTTAAAGGTCAAGTATTTCTTATTTTCTGAGAGAACATAATTTCTGGAAATTAACAAAAAACGAGTTCTCTTATTGAACTACCAGCTGCGTTCTCAATTGTTCAAACTGTTTTGAAACTCAATGTGTATATCATTTTTTACTCATATTTATTGCACATATTTATATTTTGATATTTCGATTTTTGCAATAGGTATTAATAATATTATCATTATTATAGGGCGTGGTCTTCCATTGTGTACATGTTGATTCCCAATGTGAAAGAACTTGAACAGAGTCTGAACCAGTTCGCTAATATTATTGATGCTGATGAAGTTCTTCTATTCGAAAGAGCGACCTTTTTAGTAATAAGTCATTGTCAACGACAATTTCACAGGGATGTTCACCGTTTCGAGAAGGTCTCTAATATAATAAAGCAATTCAAACTAAGTTGCAGGTAAATGTGGAGTGTAAAAGAAAGAAAATATGCTCGAAGCAAGATGTAGATACGAATACTGTTATTATTTTTCCAGTAAGTTAGCGGCGCAGTTTCAGAGTATGGAAGTGAGAAACACCAATTTCGCGGCCTTTATCGACATATTTACTTCGAATACGTACGTGATGGTTATCATGTCGGATCCAACTATACGTGAGTATTTGGAATATTTACTGCAGTGTATCTGAAAGATACTCAAACGCCCGTGATCCTCTTTCAGCATCCGCAGCAACGTTGATCAACATACGCAATGCCCGAAAACACTTCGAAAAGTTGGAACGTGCCAGTCAAAGTTCAGCATTGAGTAGATAGAAGTCGGCGCGACCCAGGCGCCTCGTCACCCGGGTCCAACCTGTTAATAACTGTTGAATTTATTACAAATGGAAGTTCTGCACCATGTCGTTGAAATGGTGAGGCATGACAACGAGGATATGATCGTTTGTTGATGAAACTGGGTCACAAAGTAACTTTAACACACGGCTTTCAACGTGAGCGTTTATGACAACGTAATTGTATAATGTCTGAAGGAGAGACGGCTATATCGATATTTGACATCGTTTATTAGATCTGTAATAATGCAGTTATTTAATTTGTGTTACATGTATATACATGTTGCGTGATCATAAAGCATCTGTAATTTATCGATGTGTATGACTGCGTATACGTGACTGATATTGTTCCATGCTGTATTCCGACTTCTGACTTGCCCGTGATACGAATTCTTGATTGCGATTGAACATTCAACTGTTAGTAATAAATAAAATAAATATAATTGCAGCCATATGCAATTGTAGCCTCGTGTTCTTTTCCAACTACCGTTTAAAGTAAACTACCGTTTCTTATTTGAAAATAGTCAAATTTTTTGTTTTATTATCGAGTTCTACTACTCGAGAATAAAAAGATCAACTGAACAGTGGATCGGATAAACTTGAATTAGAAAAAAGAGTAGACTTAAGAATTGAATTTAAAAATATTTAGAAGATTATATTATATAATCGTTGTTTCAATAAAAATGGAGAATTATTTCAATTCGTCGGTTGTATACGATCTAGTTTACTTCTGCTACAAATCAAAGTTTTAAATTTCCCGCTGTTGCCTTTGTAAATGGTGGAATTGTGTACTGTCATCTGTACTCATACTGGAAAGAAAGTTTCTAACGATATAGTATTATCCGAATGCCACACGATGGACAGGATACTTAAAGGGATCATGAAGTACAGAAAGTGCCATCGGGAAGGAATGGTGAAGCAATTTCAACAAGTTCGAGATCACCCCGAGGTATGTGTTTTCTTTTGCAAAAATATTTCGCGTTATTTTTCAGTGCGCAAGTGCATACGTACTTGCGACGCGTCATCAGACACAACTCCACGTGTGTTTTGTTGATAGGAATTTTTCAACAAAAATTATCACGGACCGTACATAAATCAATTCAATTAATTTCACGCAGATTTATTTGGCATGGATTCGACAGTTCTTACTTTCTCTCATTTAATTAAATACAACTCGACGTAGGTTCTTGTGCAATCGATGACCTAATGATGATAATCATATGGATGTTTGATAATTAACACATTGGTGTGATGTTACCGATGTCACAATTCAGTCGCTGCTTTACAGAAATCTATGTTATCGACGGTTGTACAATTGTATTGTTGGGAATGCTTAGATTAGACTGTATCACTTGTCAGTAAACCGTTACGTTCGAAATATTTCCTGAACAACCGGTGGCAGCATTCTACATTACCGCATGGCATTCCTCTGACTATCTCGACGAGGTAATACCCTTATGAAAAAAATACGAAAAAACCCTCAATTTTGGGTGTAAACGCCTAAAAACTGGGGATAAACACCTAAATTTGAGTGTTAACATTAAAAATTGAGGGTTTTTTTCGTATTTTTTTCGTAAGGGTACTGAAGACCAAGACCCATATTCTTGACATTTTTGCGTAAATTTCTTTGCGCAAGTGTAATCATATAATAAAATAGCTGCGTAATGAAACTTATGTATATGCAAAAATTTCAAGAATATAGGTCCGTTAGGCCTATTCTATAACTTTTAGGGCCGATTATTTCAACTTCTTGGTAAGCTACCTGACAGTTAAATCATGTGTCTGTTTTTGTCGAATTTGAAGAAAAAACGAAAATAGACATCTGATTTAACTGTTAGGTAGCTCACCAAGAGGTTGGAATGATCGATATAACGACAATGTCTTTATCGTTACCTTGTCGTTGCGCAGGTATAATACATGGTAGAAAAGCTGTGCAATGGCACGCCGTGCTAGTGACATTGTCGTTAGAAAGTTACAGAATAGGCCTGCAGGCATTTACATGGTATTTTAGAGTCCAAAATTTATTCAATTGTTAATAAAAATGTCAATTTACATGATGTATATGTGTCTAAACGTTAGCCTACGTATTATTTAAACGTTACCTTAAACCTAACTGTTCGAAATCGTTCGTCTAATCAGAGGAATATTCTCGAACACCTCAATAATAATAATAGAGGAATCGTTTGTGTGATTGACCGGATCACATGTTTGTCACGTGTATAACACAGAATCTTACGTGCTCGATTGTCTCGATTAAGCGGTGCGTTTTGGCCTAAATATACAGAATAAATTTAGCTTAAAATCATAGATTTATTTCCGTTCTTTGCATTTTGTCCTAAATAAACGGCTGAACTGATTAACTGATGGCCCACTTAAGCGAAATCTACTGTATTACCTCGTCGGTGCCTCGACAAATGTTATTTTTCTTTGTTGTCGAAAAATTATATTACTTATTGCTTGATATTTTATTTTTTATTATTTTTCTAATTGTTTCACAAATAAATATAGAAAAGAAATAGATATATATATATATATAAATTGTTTATGTATTGTTTATATATATTGTTTTTTTAATGTAATATAATTTGTCTCTTTGGTAACAATTGATTTTCATCTCCGTTACATCACAAGTATTCGTAATTTGATATCTGTTGTTGCTCTTATCACAGCCGAAAGCAGTGTTCTTTACCTGCATGGACTCCCGGATGATCCCAACTAGATTTACGGAAACAAACGTTGGGGACATGTTTGTCGGTACGACAATCTAATATGGCAATATTGCATGATATTAATTGTGACTAAATTTCTGTTTTTTGCTTGGTTTTTATTATTTACCACGTATATTTTGAATAAAAGAAAGAATCTAAAATCTCTTTACACAGCTCGTTCTTCGTAGACATTAACTCGCCAAATTATTTTTCTTACACTGAGAGAAAAAATATCTAAGAAAAAAATAATTTCTCGGTAGATATTAATTATATAGTTACTTATATTTATGTGCATATATTGTTGCACCGAGAAAAAAAAATTTTTTCAAATAAGAAAATATATTTTTTCCTAAGACTTTTAGGTATTTTTTTCTCTCCGTGTGGGAATTTATTGAAATATTTAAGATTGTAATTCTAAATATTTCTTATAAGAGAAAGAGCAAAACAAAATATGTATATATGTAAGGATGTTTATTCTTTTTGGAATGTTTCGATTCATTTGTGGAAATGACCGATAGGCATCGTCGTACGGGCTAACGGAGTTCGGTTTTTCAGTACGGAATCCCGGTAATGTTGTCCCGCATTCGCAGCATTTCGTGGACGAATTTACTATGTGCGAATCGGCGGCGCTGGAGCTCGGCTGCGTGGTGAACGACATAAGGCATGTCATAGTCTGCGGCCATAGCGATTGCAAAGCGATGAACTTGCTCTACGCGCTGCGGGACGAGGAATTTGCATCTCAAGTGCGTTCTCTCACACTCCCGCTCGCTATTTCTCATGAAAATGTATCCATTTGCCTCGAGTAACGAGATGCGCATCACCTTTGCATCTCGTTGTTGTTGCGCGCGTGCCGTATATGTGTGTAATGTGCCGACCGAATTTTAGATGAACAGGAGAATATCGCCGCTGAGAGCATGGCTGTGCGCGCACGCCAGCAGCAGCTTGGCGAAGTTTCAGCATCTTGAAGTCGCCGGTTTCCACGAGCCGATTATCTTTCAGGCCGAGACGCCGCTGCGAAAATTCGTCGCTTACATCGATCCGGAGGATAAGTTCGCCATCGAGGACAAGCTGTCGCAAGTTAGTAACACGCGGAAGCAAGAGAGCCGATCCGCGAGAGACCGCCCGTCAATCTACCCGGGATCTTATTCAGCCACCCTTTGTTGTAGATTAATACGTTACAGCAGCTACAGAACATCGCGTCCTACGGCTTTCTGAAGAAGCGTCTGGAAAGGCACGATCTGCACATTCACGCCCTGTGGTTCGACATCTACACCGGGGATATTTACTATTTCAGCCGTGCCAACAAGAGATTTGTGGAGATAAACGAGACGACGGAGCTTGCTCTGCTGAAAGAAATTACAAAATATTACTCGTAGACATATTCTTCGGCGACGCACATTTCTATTGTCTCGGCACAATCGCCGATTAACATTGCGTTTCCAGAGACACGCACAAAGTAGGTCGCGAGGGAATAATCATATGTATATTTTTATGTGCTCGGATCGAGAGATTTGTGCCTCCCCCGCAAATCCCGTCGACATTTCCACGGGGAATTGCGCGAATTGTACCAAACGAAATTCTTGTCTGCTACTAATTCGTTGCTGATGTTCAATGTGATATGCTTAATACACACTATTATGTGTATAACGGACTGCCACGAGACGCGCACAAGGAAGGAACGTTTGTTGTGTTCAGCGTTCTCCAAACATTCGGTTAACGTTCAGCGATTCACAGGACTAATTAGCAGATTTGCAGAACGGATTGACGTTAACGTTCCAATTCTGTCTAAGTACAATCTATCGGATATATTAGTTACTAATTGTTTTTTAAGTGTCTTGTTTTGCTAAATATAACCATTCCTTGCCGATTGATTGATTGAGACACAGGTCGTAATTGAGATGTAGCACATATATTAAATAAATTTCTGCGAAATAGATTTTTTATTTATCGTGTTATGACAAGTTATGTTTATATAGAATTTATTTATGTTAATAAAAAAATTTTTTAAATTTTAATAAACTATATATATGTGGAGATTTATGTGTTATATATATATATATATATATATATATATATATATATATACAGGGTGGCACAAAAGAAGCGAACGGTTAAACATTTACAAAAATTTTATTTTCAACTTTTCAATTTATTTTGACATGGAATTATGAAGTCTAATTTACGAAGATTTTTTTAAGTTATTTGTGAAACACGTAACATATAACAAGTTATATGCGTCACGCAAATGTCCTTCATTTTCTGTCTCGTAAAGACTTGTTTTCTCTGCAAGTTATGAATTTTTTAAAAGTTCGTTCTTTTTGCGCCACTCTGTATATATATAAAAGTCGCCTTGATACCATCGAAAAATATCCTTTTATACACACAGAAAAATATACATACTGTAAGTTCAAGTAAATGTAATTTATTTCAATATTTCATAAGTCCGCGAATCTATTATAGAGTCATCATAAGCGCCAAATTTATTCAAAATATATTCTGGATTTTAGTAAGTTTCGCACTTTGATCAATTATATATATATATATATATATATATATATATATATATATATATATATATATATATATATATATATATATAT